ATGCGAAGAGAGCGAGTTTATAAAGCGTCTTCATTCAATACGTTATTTGTGGAAAACTTCCATGCTCATTCGTTGCATTCCTTGCTTACGAGCCCACCTCTCTGCGTTGGTGGGGAGGCTGGACCCCAAGGGTCCAGTTCAAGAGCCGGCGGGGGAAGATGCAACATGAGCAAGGAAGTTTCTAGGCTAATACGTTGTGGGTAGTAGTCAATTCCCCACTAATCCGTTGTGGGTAGTAGCCATTCCCCACTATTCCGTACGGGTAGTAGTCATTTCCCCGTTAATTCGTTGTGAGTAGTAGCAATTCCTCACTAATACGGCGGGGGGAAATAAAGATAATAAAAGTTAATTCGTTGCCAGAGTGGTCTTATCCCTGGCTAATACGTGCATGGGGTAAACTATCAGGTAAGTTTGTTACAGGCGGAAAAGTAAACAGGTAAGTTTAAAAAAGATGATAGTTTACATCAATGCTAAGAAATACACAGGTAAGTTGCAGCAGGTAAGTTTAAGTTTCAGGAAGTTTAGGTCGATGCAACTGCGCCTGTGTCTACTACGTACACAGGCAGGTTATAACAGGTAAGTTTGTTCCCCACTTACTTATGACTGTGTAATTATGTCGGTGTTTTACTGCGTTTGGCACACCCCCTTTACTCAAAGATTTAGGTAATGTGGTGGTGGCGATCCCTCCAGCAAGCGACGAGTGGCGAGCCGGACGAGATCGAGTGGTGATGGTGTGGTTCGATGATGGTTCGAGGAGTTGGTTCGATGGCATTCGAGGAAGTTGGTAGTTGGTGGTCGAGGATCGAGTTCGGCGTTGGAAGTGTGGTGCGAGCGACGTGGTCACTTGCGACAACAACATCAGTCGCCCTGGTCACGTCGGCGGAGTGGATCGTTGGTCAGATGGAAGTCAAGATGGAAGTAAAGCTGGCGGCGAGTTACGACGACACTGCGGCAGTCATGGATTTTGAGGTTGCCCTTAAGGCACCTCCTCCGATGCTGTTGTTTTTGGAGTGGCCCTTAAGGCGCTCCCTACGGTCGTGTTTTTGGAGTGGCCCTTAAGGCGCTCCCTAGTATTTGTTTTTTCGAGTGGCCCTTAAGGCGCTCAAGTGTTGTATGTATCTCGCTGTGGGGTTATTCTAGTACGTTTCTTTCATCGTTGTATTTGGTGGTTTTCTTGGACACCCTTAAGGTGTCCCCCTTGTTCTTCGGTGGCCCTTAAGGCGCCTTTGGTTCATGAAGTACATTTATGACGATGATTCTCTTTTGGGAGAGCCCTTAAGGCGCCCAGCATTGTCTACTACGTTCTCACTAAGTAGGTTGGTAGTAGAGGTCACCTGTAGGTAGGAAAATTGTAAAGGTGTAGTACCAGCCAGCTGCCTTAGGGACTTACATATAAGCGGCCTTAATTCGGGCGCTCGGTGTCTAATTCCCCGGTGGGGGCACCGTGGTCTCTCGCGCCCTCCCCCGGCGGGCTTCGCTGAGGTGGGGAGTGTCGCGGATGCGACGGTTGCCCGTGGGCGCACCGTGCGCCCCGGCCCATTCGCGCTCGGATGCCAATGCGCAATGCTCCGCGCAATGCGCCCATTGCGTCATTGGCTCCGCCCCCTACGGTCGGTGCCAGCCGTTGTTCGCCTACTATCACCGCGCTGAGCGGTCGCGTCCACGCTGTCTGCCTAGCTGCCAGGTAAGTCATTGATGATTGTGCAATAACTTGCAGCTGAGGTCCCTGCTTGGAATGGGTACTACGTTGTCCCAAGGCTGGTATCCGGTGGCAGGTCGGTCTTCACCGGGCAACGCGATGAGGCCAGCTAAGGCGAAGGGGCACGTCGCCCCAGAGTCCATGCTGGTGGAGCGCCTGTCATACCAAAGCCGGTCGTGTTCCACCCCTGCTCCCCGTCTGGGAGCAGCCTGTCATCATGCCCCAGCGAGGACACGCCGACCGTAAGGTGCCCATAGAAATGGTCCCGAGCGGGATGGGGGTCTAATACGTGCAGTCAGCTGGCCTGGTCTGCCCTTGAGCGAGGTGGCCGAGGGAGATCAGAGGTGATGGTAAGTTATTGCGTATAATAAATGTATTGTTTATATGCTGTGTTCATGTTCATGTGGGTTTTGCCCTAATTCTATGTTCATTGTATATGTTGTTTGCGCCATGGTTGGCAAGGGTTTGGCGCGCCTTGGTTCTGACCCGGGAGCTGCGGGAGGCAGTAGGGACCCGTTAGGAACCCCATGGTCCCCGAGGGGTTGGTCCGCTTCTCCTGCGGGGTGCGCAGGAGAGGTGTTGTGGACCCGATGGAAAGTCCTCGGACCGAAAGGTTCGAGGCGTCAGGAGTTGCTAGGCAGAGCCCACCGATGCGGATCGCAATAGGCTCAAGCCCCGTTTGCGACCAGAATTGGAATGAA